GGGTCACTTCTGATTAGAAAGTAAAACTTCTGTATGCTATGTTTAATTAGCTGAAAGACCTGATTTATTGATGTTGGAAGGCTGCCTTYTTTGTTCACAATACTATAAAAGGATTGCTTGTACACAATAAAGGACTTTTTTTTCTGCTGCTGCTTCACTTGCTCTGCTTCTTCTTCTTTCTTTTCTCATGCTGACCTGCAAGTGAATTACTGCAACAAAGACCTAATTGTAGAATGTCTGGGTCATTTTCCACAACTTGAAAATATTCTTCTCTGTTGTCCTAGCAATTAAGTCTTCCTGGTTCTCAACTATATCTAGTTTGAAATGGGAAGACATGAATGGAGCTTTATTTTTTTTTTCCAAATTAAATGACACAATAACAAAAAGTGTCTCATTAATTAAAAGAGGCTCATCCTGGATTTCACTGATGGACACTATCCTTGGAGTACTGTTCTTCTGGGAAATGATTCTTTGAAATATGGAAAATCTTCAAACATTTATTTTTCTGGGTGGTGGGAGCAGGCTTCTTGTGCAGAGAATGGAAAAAGGAAGTTCCCAGTTAGAAAGTGAAGGCATACTGGGCTGATGAGCAAGTCCTCCAAAATGCACTGTAAAAGTGGGTCATGTAGTAATAATTGTAACACAGGTGATAATGAGGAAGCGAAAGGTGTTGATGGTGTTGGTGATGTAAACATAGTTGGGCTGTGGTGCTAGAGCATCCGGTGTTCTGATGACATTGCTACTATTGCTATCAGATCAGGGAAAAGCATCAGTCTTGATTCCTATGTGTAATATAAAGGCACTAAATGTCCCTGAAGGGTGTCACAGAAGTTTCTCTGGAAATGGCACTTTACAGAACACCTACAGTTTATTCTGTAAGCTCTATTTTCCTATCAAAACACAAGGCCCAGACACAGCTTTTCATACTGAGACTCAGTTACAGGACTACCGTTTCTTGCCTCCATGCACAGCACAAATGCTGCCTATCTGTGCTGTGCTGAACAGGGTACAGCTGGCACAGAGTGAGGCAGCACTCTGTCCACAATATTGCAGGTGAAAGAGGCTTTTGGTGTCACTTGAGGGAAGCAGCAGTTCTTGGTCTCCTCCACCAACAGATGGAGCAGAGATGCTGTCAAGACAGAGGCTAGAACTGCCCAGAAGAGACCAAGAGGGAGGTCAGCATTGATCTGGAAATCAAGGGTCAGGCATTGATCTGGAAGTCAGGACAGTCCATCCTATGCTGTGGGCTACTGTGACCATGGTCTGAGGGTCAGAATCTCATTTAAATGAGCCCAGGATACAGTACAGAACTCACCTAAGTAAGGAAGTAGAGAAAGCTGGCCCTAGGTATCAGCCTTTAGGGCCAAAAATCACTAAAGAGACCAAGATGAGGTCCAGGTACCTCAGCAGGGAGCTCAGTGTAAAAATATGGGGCTTCTACACCCGTGTCCTTCCTTTCGTATGGCTCCATGGGTTCCCTGCCTAATCTTAGGGTGCCATTGTTCACTGTCCATATGTTCTCCCAGGTATTACCCCTCCATGCTGGGGACTTGCAGAGATGCCTTCTGACTCATCTCTGGCCTGTCCTCCCATGTCCACTCACATTATCATTTAAGGCTCTGTGATCATGTTCAGGTACATGTGGGGGAAGGGACACTTGGGCTTCTTCCTTGGATGGAGCATGAACAACTTCTTTGAGAAGACTCTGCAGAGT